ATCAGAATTATTTTTTAGATTTGCTTTTGAAAACAAGATTGTAGGTACTGGCTCTTATTTTATCCTTTCAGTAGATTGTGGTAAATGAGACTAAGCTTTTCTTCTATGCCTATAAATGTTCTCTCTTTCTCTCTCTTTTGTGTGTATTGTTTTGTGTTTTGTTTAGAGGGAGGGAGGGAAGGAGAGAGAGAGAGAGAAAGAGAGAGAGAGACATCGATCGGTTGCCTCCCATATGGGCCCCAATCAGGGATTGAACCCGCAATCTAGGTATGTGCCATGACCCTTTGGTTCATGGGATGATGCTCCAACTAACTGAGCCACACTGGCCAGGGCGATATAAATGTTCTTTTTAAAAAATGTTTTTTAGAAGTAACCAAATATAGCTTGCCAAAGTTATCCCATTGTGGAAGTGCAGTTCAGGACCTTTCACCCCAATAGAGGCTCCTGCTCTTAGCTGGTGAGGATGGAGCTTCTGTGCTCTAAGAGGGCTTGCCTGTCCTGTAGCCAAGGGAAGGTCAGGCCCCAGGGCTCACAGTTATGGCAGCTGTTCATGGAAAGGTTGAGGTAAACAGGCAACACCTCAATCCCTGTGGTCGTAAAGGCTGTCTCTCCTTCCCCAGGAACACTTTTTGTCCCCTGACAGATGTGAGGCTGCCCCAAGAAATGGAGCTTTAGCAAACCCATTTCTGTGGGAGTTGGGAGGTACGGGAGAATTGGCCTTCAGACCTGGAGTCAGGTAAAGGAATTCTTTTTTGGGTCTGAATGTTCCTCCCCTGTTGGCCTGGATCAGTCCCGCCTTGCTGTCTGTAGTGCTGCGTCTGTGGAGAGAAGTGGTTCCTCAGAGAGGAGGCTGGCCTTCTGTGTCAAACTTACTGTTTTGTAATCATGCTAATAGCCTCAGTTTTTGCTTGAGTTGGAGTTTAATTCAGGGCTCGATAGTACCATCTAATATGTCTGTACCTTGATCTGTTTTCCTTATTCGTAGTGGTGCAACTGTGACAGGAAAGATGTCAGGTTAGTTAAAATATTTGGCATTTGCTTTTCCTGCAGATAAAGTAGAATTGCTAGGCCCCAGAAGAGAGTGAACATTATCTGTATTGCCAAACCCTGCTTTTTGGCTGGGGTTGGAGACATTAGCCCGAGAACCTGTTACACCAGGTCTTGGAACTTCAGTAGAACCTGAAATGTGGTTGGGCCTCCTGTTTTGAATATACCTCCATCCCACTGGTAGGAAAGGCACTTCCCACTTGGCCTCCTGCCATCGGACGCCCTGAACAAGCTGTTCTTGGAATCTCCGCCAGGCTTTTCCTTTATAACTGGTGTTGCATTACCTGTGCTCTGTGATCCACTTGTTACACCTATAATCTTGCATGTAGGGAGTCTGGATGATAAAGGGGTTTTGAAATAGAATTGTTTTTTTTCTCCCTTTCTTGAAGTGGTGGTAGTTAATTTGGGGGAAGGAAAATACCGCTTGTTCTCAAGTCACCTTTCTATACCAATTAAGCAACAGCTTCAATATGCCATGCTCTGGGTGAAAGGGAATTGGGTAGCATTTTTCTTTCCAAAAGGCATGGGACCTCAGTCAGTAAATAGAGGGCCAACGATAACTGCGGAATCTAAGCTAGGTAAATACCACAGCAAATGAATGGTCTAAGGGCCAGGGCACTCAAGTGGAAATCTGAAAATGCCCATGTCTTTATTTCTCTTTCTCTCTCTCTCTCTCTCTCTCTCTCTCTCTCTCTCTCTCTCTCTCTCTCTCTCAGTATCACACAACCTATTTTATTTACCTGTAAAATAAGAATGTACGACAGCTCTTTGGCAAAGGCATAATTTCCCTTCTCCAAGCATTTCAGACAAGTTTGAAGGCTAGTTTATAAAGGCCCATGTGAACCGTGTGGAGCTTTGGTCTGGAAAGCAGTTAAATTTAGGGTAAAGGGGAAATATTTCATAGAAAACATGCTGTTTGGTTTGGAGTTTTCTTTCCTCTGTGCCATCCCCTCTCCCTCCCTCCCCCCCCAGGACAGAGACCTTTGAGCATTGTATTGGTTTTCAATCTTACGGGAGCCTCAGCCTATATTGCTTTCCTTGGGTTGTCCCGGATGAGTGAATGTTGTTGGGAAGAACTGAGAGCAGCTCGTTTTAAGCTGCTTTACTTGCCACCTGTGGTGTGTGTGACCCTCTGACCAGGTCCCACAAAGTGGAGTCTGAGAGCCCTTTGCTACCCTGGCCCCCGCTTGGTTGAGTGGGTAGGTGCCATGGCTACTGAGATGGTTACAGCCTTAGCTTACCTGCTAGAGGCTTGATTGGCGTAGGGGCTGGCAAGACATGTGACATTTTGGCATTTTTAAACACCACTGCTCTACTTACCAGCTCTGTGCCCTTGATTAAGTTACCACACCTTTCTGAGCTTGGAGATCATACTTGTCTCAACGGGTCTTTGTAAGAATTAAAGAGCAGCACCTGACACATAGTTGATGCTCCATCAATGTTGGCCTGCCTGTCCTCCAAATGCACCTTAGGCTCTTTTGTTCAGTGATACCACCAAGCAACTCTCTAGCTGGTCTTTTGTGACTTTGTCAGGGGAGGGGATTTAGAAGCAAAAGCAATTTCAATGCTTTTCACTGAAACACACACACACACACACACACACACGGAAATTTGAATCTCACGTTTTCTATTTTTTAATCTCCACCTGAGGATATGTTGTTACTGATTTTTGAGAGAGAGAGAGAGAGAGAGAGAGAGAGAGAGAGACAGACATTGATCGATTGCCTCCCATACATGCCCTGACCAGGGATCGAACCTGCAACCTTTTGTTGTATGGGACAGTACTCCAACCAACTGAGCCACCCAGTCAGGGCATAGTTCCTATTCTTGGCAGTTTTTGACTGCTGGTGTAAACATGACCAAAGCGCAATTTTTCTTGGAATACTGTTTTTCAGCCTCCTGAGCCAAGGCATTTGGTGTCAAACTCCTAGAACCTTAAATGTGGAAAGATTTAGGGAGGAACCTGAGATCCTCGGGGTGGGGATCTTACTCAAGGGCAGAACCCAGATCTCTCCTGTTTCTTTTTTATTGATTTCAGATAGGAAAGAAGATAGAGAGAGAAATAGAAACATCAGTGATGACAGAGAATCATTGATTGGCTGCCTCCTGTACACCCACACTGGGGATCGAACCTGCAAACCGGGCATGTGCCCTGAATCAAACTGTGACCTCCTTGTTCATAGGTTGATGCTCAACCACTGAGCCACGCTGGCTGGGCTCCTCTCCTATTTCTACATAACCTGGATCCCACTGCAGTGCAAACTGTGCAGGACCAGCAACCCTCCTCCAGAGACCCCAGCCTCTCCTGGGACCTGGGGGCCTGTGACAAGATGGATGGCATAACCCAGACTCTTGTGTTCCCAGGCCTCAGCAGCTATTTAAAAACTTGGGTTTGGAGGGGCTAATACTCCTGTGACTTGGAGGGTCTGACACTCTAGGTCAGTGGTTCTCAACCTTGGCTGCACATTAGAATCACCTGGGAATCTTTTTAAAATCCTGATTTCTGGGCCCCATCCTCCGGAAATTCTGTTTCTTTGTTAGTAATATTGTGGCCCCACCCCATACAAAGAAACAGAATTTCCGGAGGATGGGGCCCAGAAATCAGGATTTTAAAAAGATTCCCAGGTGATTCTAATGTGCAGCCAAGGTTGAGAACCACTGGTCTAGGTAGTAGTCTGAGAAATAGTGTCCTCTTTCAGTTATTATTTCAGCGAATACTTACTGGGTGCCTGCTAAGGGCCAGGTGGCGTGCTGGGGAGATGGCAGCAAAAGTCATACTGAAAAGGGATTCTTCTAATCACTGGCAACCAAGCACCTTTATTTCTTTTCAAAGAAACATGCCTTTTTTTTTTTTTAAGGCAATTAGGTTTTAACTGCCCACATCCCATTAAGCTAATAGCAAATGTCATCTCAGTAATTCTTGTACCTCCTCCCTCCAAGGGCCTAGATTCAGGATTCTTAAAGTAGTTACCAATCAGGAAGCCCCTCTCGGGTCATTTGTTGTGGCTATGGCTGAGGTGCCTGTTCTCTGCTCCCATTTGGTTCCTTTGGTCCAAGGGCCCTGCTGCTTCTGGGCCAATTTGGGGTGTAGGACAATAGTGAAGGTGGTCACCAGTTATCTTTGCCCTCTTGGTCTTAGCAATGACCAGGTCTTTCCCAGGAGCACACTCCAGGGCAGGGCGTGGGAGTGGAGGGAAGCACAGGTCATCCTGCACCAAGTTCATGCGGCTGCTTTTGGTGTTGGCACATCTTAACCAAAGGAAAAAGTGAGATTGATGCCTTCTGCACCCAGCCAAGCGGGATAGAAAATGCCTTTGAGAATTTGGATTAATCCTTATTGTCATGTGGCAAGGGAGAGGCATTATGGGGAGAACTAAGGTGAGACTTGGGTTTGAAGCTTGGGTCTACCTTTTGCTACCCATTGACTTTGAGCAAGTCTCAGTCTCTTCAGTCATATGGGTGTAATAATACTCACCTGGCTTTTGGGATGAGGGTTCAAGAAGATGTGCGCAAAGCTGCTAATACCGGGCCTGGTAGTAGGTGCCAGTAGATAGTTGCTTTTCTGCTGCAGTGTTTTTGTCGTTGATAAAAGTTTTGTCATTAGCCAGCAGTAACCTACATTGTAGAAGTTAAGGGGCAGCAAGAGAATCTTTAGCTGAGAGGTGGTGACATTTGTCAAGAAAGAAAGCAGGCTTTGTGAACTAGATAGAGGAAAGTTGAAAGATGAGGAGTCTCTCCCGAGTCTCCCCGCTCTGGATGGTGTGATCGAGTGAGAACACTTAGCACCTTGAAATGTGCTCATGTTTGGCATGGCAAGGACAACCCTCAGGCTTTGTCTGTGCCTTGGAGCGTCCCTGTGGCTCACTGGGAACTGTGGATTCTTTTACTTGGTTTCGGTTTTCAAATTGTACCTGCTGTGTCTACCATCACTGACTGTGTTCACTCTCTTCCAGGGGCTCCACGGGCCTTACCCCTTCGGCCAGTCTTAAACGGGTGTCAGCAAGAAGAAAAATTAACAAAAGACAGAAGGTCTGACTTTGGTGGGGGGCGGGCAAGGGGTTCCTCAGGATTGCAGACCACATCGCACGGACCTCTGGCTCTGACCGTCCATCCCGGAAGAAGAGGAAGAAGCAGAACAGACTAGTTTTGAGTAAACTCAGTGTGCATGTGTGAATGCTGAATCGCTGGAGTGGTGTTGAGGCTACCAAGAAGAAATCCATGCAGCCACCTTGGGTTTTATTAGGCGTCAGTCTAATAAGTCATTAGGTCACTCGGGAAGGGGAAAAAAAGCTTAAAATGGGGGAAAAAAGCCATCTTTTTAAACAAAAATTATTTTGCCTACAGACAGGTTGTAGTTTTGAGCACATGTTAATTTTCCCCCTCTTTCCGCACTTTTATTTTATTTCTTTTTAGATAAGGGATAACATACTCTTTATAGAATAGCTGCTTGCTCTGGGAGCGATTCAGGTTCAAAGCTGGTGTGGTGTGTGTGGGGCTCTGTAGGCAGTGCTGCAGGAGGGCGTCAGCTGTGCCACGTGACCCAGGAGTCTAATGGCATCAGCCATTGAGCCATCGCCCTTTTCCTCTTCTTTCTCTTTAGTCTTTTGTTGATTTATACCTTTGACATTTGTATTCATCAACCCTGCGGCTTGTTACCATCAGAACCTCTCTGAAAGACCAAACTTCCCTGTGTGCCCGCAGAGGAAGCCTTGAGGACGGATCTCGGGTGGCGTGGGAGTTTCTGAGGCTGAGAGGTCTTCTGCACACACTTGTAACAGTTCAGATTGCTTTCTCCCATGCTTCTCCTGGCACAAAGGCCATCATACTTGCTGCTTTTTGGCTTCTTCATCCACAGTGGCTCCCCGTTCATTCTGTGCTGCGTTTATGCGTGTGCCACGTGCACAGGGTGTGGGTGAGCTCACCAGCGAGTGTGAAGTGAAGGTCCCATTCTTCTCTGTTGTCACACAACTCCCTTCCCTGTGTTTCCTCTCAGTTGTCTTTTGTGGTGTTCTTGCAGCCTGTTAGTGGGGGCTGAGCCTTTAAGGTATGAAAATACAGCCACAAGTGGGGAATTGCCATGGGGAAGCGCCAGAGTTGCTCTGTGATCTTGGAGACCACATTTTGATGGAAATGAGAGGACCCCATCCTGAGCAGGATGCCTGGTTGTTGGGAGGTGGTGGGACCGGCCCACCCAGCCAGAGCAGAGTGGCTGGCTGCTCCCTTGGGCAGGTGGCCCCACTGGCATCCTGTGGATTCTGAGCAGGTTGAGATGTGCGTATCTCTGTGGGAGGCTTGAACCAGGCTAGAACAGCTGTCTGCCAAAGATACAAGAATATGCAAAGTCCCTCTTCTCTTCTCACCCCCTCCTTCCCTCGAGTGTTGGTTGGTTTGATAGCCAGGAGGTATGGATCTAGGATCAAGGGTGCGGTTGCCTGCCTGTTACCACACCCCAAGCGTGCGAGTCAAGGAAGGAGACCAGGTGATGAGTGGCTGCAAGGGGTCATATAGCCTTGATGTGGGTGAGGGTCTGCCTGCCTGTCTGTCTCTGTCTGGGTGTGTGAGTTCCAAAAATGTGTGTTGTTTGTTCCTCCTCCTCCTCTTCTGAGACTGTTTTTTAAAAGCTTGATTGTGGGAGATAAGCTTGTATGAAATTACCCTTTTGCCTCCCCACCTCCCAAGAATTAAAAGGGGGGGTAGATTTTTGTCCACTGGAGAAGCCCTAGGGGAGAGTGGAGACAGCCTGCTGAGCAGGGCAGTACAGCTGGGGCGGGGGCTGGGCTGTAGCACCAACTTGTGCACATGAAGGGTGCCCCATTCCTGAGTGGAGAACCTGTCAGGTGCCCAAGCCAGGGGCTCACAATGGCTTTTTGGCTGAGGGCGCTATTGGGCCCAGACTGCCGCTACTGTTGGTGCCAACCTCCTGGGACACTGCCACCCTGGAGCCCACCCATGCCCAGCATTCTCCTCATTTGAGAGCTCTCAAAGCAGCACATCTCCAGCTGCCCCTGGCAGGATCATGGGGGCTTCCATCCCCTGATTTCCTGGCTTCCTCATCTGCTGCACGCAAGGTGCCCCTTCACCATTTCCCAGGAGGTATGGCCTGCGGTTGTTCAGCAGAGGCGTCCTGCTCCTCTTGCTTATAGGCAACCCGACCTGGCAAGGAAACTGTCCCAAGCACGCTGGCTTCCCTCCCAAGAACAAACCATTTCTGTACACATCCTCGCAGAGGGTCAGAGCAAGGGCAAGCCATGGAGTGGGGCAGGGCGTCCACTGCTCCCTAGCACCAGGGGGCTAGCAGTGCCATTCATTCGGCCTCCTCCCACTGGTTTGAGGGCTGAGCAATGCCTAGAGCCCCTCCTCCGCTGCTCATAGCTCCTGCTCCTCTTCACCAAGCAGCAGCTGCCAGTGGGCAGGACCACCAGTGTCGTACCCACGGGGTGAGACCGGCACCATCTTTAGGGGCCTGAGCAGTGTGGGAGGCAGAAGGGCTGAGGCTTGGGAAGAGTCCGTCTGTGTGCATGGAGTGAGGTGTGTGTGGATGTGTGTGCACGCGTGCATGCTTTTTTTTTCTTTCTGTCACGGGGACAGTTGAATTCGGGGCATTTTTCTACAAGAAACAGACATCTCTCCCTCCGCAAGGACTGGCTGTAAACTTGAAGCCCATCAAAGGCAATTCCAACCTAGAAAAAACCTAAGCAAGACAGCTGGTGTGGCCTGAGGGTGGCCAAGGTGGGAAATGGGCATGAGAATAAATACCTCCCCAAATTCAATCTGAGCCCCAGCAGGAGAGGATGGTGGGGTTGCCAGGGCTCAGAAAAGCAAGCTGATCCTCAACCCCACCCTGCCTTGCCTTTCCTTTGTTTCTGTGGGTGAATGCTGGAGCGGCGATGGCTGCCCTCCACCTGAACAGTGGTGTGTAGTGAGCAAGCTGGGTGGGTGTTTGTAGTGGGGCTTTGTGGTGCCTGGGAGGAGATGAAGATGAGGAGGTTTTTCCTTACTGTATAAATGAATATTTGTATGATTAAATTAACACACCAAAAAATGTCCATATGTGTCAGTGGGTTTTATTGTACCCTGAAGCCCGCTGTACCTGCTTAGCCCCATGGTGGTTCTCTTTGGTCTCTGGGTCTGTCCCTTTAGCAAGTGGAAAACCCTGAGGTTCGTTATATGTTTGGGAAGTAGGTCCTGGGGTTATAATTAGACTAGAGGTCCAGTGCACAAATTCGTGCACAGGTGGAGTCCAGCCGGCCTGCCCTGATTGGGGCGGGGGGGGGGGGGCGTGGCCAGCCATCAGCCATGAGGAGGGGTCGTGGGCAGTTGCCCTGTCCCCTGGTTGAACTCCCGGTTGAATTCCCTGTCAAGGGGCAATTTGCATATTAGCCTTTTATTATATAAGATTAGCTGCCCTTTCTGGCTCCTAGGACCCCCGGTCCCATGTGTCTGTTGAGCACTACTCTATCCCAGCTTCACTGGGGTCTGGCACATAGCACAGGAAACATCCTAGACTTAGAAGGGGGAATGCCTGGGAATGCATCTTCCCTTATGTGTTTCCCATGGTGGTCTCCAGGCTCTCCTTCTGTCATATTATGGATTAGGGAAGTTTTTACAGACTGGCCTGGGATCCTGAGAGTCAGGGAGGGACCACACTCCAGGCAGCTGGCAAACAAGTATATATATATGACAGGCCTAAGACCTTGGCCAAGAGATGGGGAGGTGGGTTACATGGTCGTCAGCATGAAAGAAACTTAATTGGCAAATATGATGGCAAATGGTGGGTTCGCTGGATCCATTCCTTCCTGTCTGTAACACTCCTTTAAAAAATTATTTTTAATTGTATTGATTTGAGAGAGAGGAAGGGATAGGGGGAGAGAGAGATAGAAAGCATCGATGAGAGAGAAACATCTATTGGCTGCCTCCTGTACGCCCCCTACTGGGGATGGAGCCTGTAACCTGAGCATGTTCCGTGACCTGGAATTGACCCAGTTACTTCTTGGTTCATGAGTCAACGCTCAATCACTGAGCCATACCAGCCGGGCATGTAGCACTCTTTGTAACACAAACTCAGGTTTGTCCTCAGTCACTCCTCTGCGTTGACAGGAGAGTGAGATCAGAGGGAAAGGAGTTGCCTGGGTCTTACAGGCTTGGACCCATGCCCTCAGCTTCCAAATGCTGCCATTGTTTTCACTGAAATTGCAGACCCCCAAGTTGGGTCCTCACCCTGGCTGGCAAAGCTACGTGTTCTAAATGATGGTGGACCTGGATGTAAGCCATGTCTCTAAGGATTAGGTGTCATGGGTAGGGGATTCCCTGGCCAATTCCCCGTAGGCAGCTCAGTGAGAGGACTTGTGGCCACAGATTGCATGAGAAAAATGGAGGCATCACAAAAGAACTTGCCCCTGCCCCAAGGGCTGAGAAGACTCCTGTTCCTCTGTGTAGCCTGATGCACAGCCCAGGGTGAGGGAGCTGGGAGACTGGCCCTGAAACCCCTGCCCCGCTACGGTGACAGGGCACCTGCATCCTGCTTCCTTCCAGGTGCCCATGGCTGTTTGTTCTCTGCAGGACAGGGCCCCCGCCCTGTCACCTGGGTCTTCTGGCAGCTCAGACTCAGGCCTTCCCCAACACCCCTGCCGCTGGACAGTTATTTGCTTGGCAGAATCTGTTTGTCTTTGGGGCTGTAACCTGTCAAGAAGTCACCAGGCCCTGGGAGAAGGGAGCAGGTTCGATGGTAGCACCTGGCCCAAGCCATTCCCACGGGGGCTGGGTGACAGGGAGGGGGCTCTCAGCTGAGCTTTCGTCTGGGAGGTGAGGGGCGGGGGAGGCAGTGGCAGTGGTCCGGGCCCAGCCCTCCTGGCAAAGCAAACAGGTCCTCACAAGCCACCTCCCTGCCCCAGCTCAGGTTGTCCTGGGTGCCTCCCACCCTGTTCTCAAGAAGGCCCCTCCTGTAACTGCATGCTGTGACCCGGCCACTTTCCCAGACTCCACACCACCTGGTGTCCAGCCCTGTCTGGCAGCCGAGAGGACAGGCACCAGAGGCGCTCATGGCAGCCCCTCGTTTCAGAGTGGGAACAGGGAGCAGGCAAGACTATTTGAGCTGGGGAGAACGTGAGTTTTGGGGTCAGGGTGTCCAGAGAACGGATTCTGACAGGCTAGCGTGACTGACTGATGCGTTTCAGGTGACTCCTCTATAAAATAAATGGAGATATACTGGTTTAGAAACCATGGCTTTTCTTAATATCACTTTTAGCTCTTAGTTCTGAGACGCTGTAATCTGGGAAAGTGCTTCTCCAACTTGCTGTCCTCTGCCGTTAGATGGAGTTTAGTCTCAGGACTGGATGAGCTCATCAGAGGAGTGTCAGTGGCTTTGACCTCATTGGTCACACACCCCCAAATGCCCCGGCTTCAAGAAGACCCTCCTCAGACTCCGAGGGTCGATGGCTGCCGCTGACCTCTCCTGGCCTTCTCGAGACCCGTGCCCCAGCCCTCTCCCTCCGGGGCAGCTCTGCAGATGGGTATGGAGCGGACAGGGCTAGGTGCTGGCCAGGCCAGGAGGGGCCCCCACCCAGGAGGCAGGTGAAGGGCATGGAGGAGCAAGGCCAGGGCCCAGCACGGTGTAGCTTAGTTCCTGTGGTCCTGTCCTCCCAAGGACAGGCCGCTAGGCCCTGGAGCCAAGTTCTAGGAATTCCTTCTACGGGCGGGGGTGGGAGGTTGGGGGGAGGCTGAGAGAAGTGGGGCTGTGTCTGAGTGGGGGCCATGCTTGCCTGCACCAAGCCTCCATCCCTGGTCAGCAACCAAGACACCCAAGATCCCTGGAAGGCTGGGCTGTCACTGCTCCGAGCCTCTGAGGAGCAACACGCACACGTGCTCACGTGGCAGTGAGACAGCAGGGCCAGGAAGGGGTTGTGGCTGCGCTGTGAGGAGTGCCCTCTCGGAAGGGCTGTCCTGAGCCCCTGGGGGGGGGGGGGGGATGTGTGGACAGCCATAGTAGGGGTGAGGGGGCTAGGAGTGTGGTCACCTCAGAGCTGGTGCAGGGTGGGCCCAAGGCCAGCAGAGGGCACCATGTGGCCCGCCTCTCTGAAAAGGGGGGACACTGGCCTGGCCTGGCCTCCCCCTGAAGTATGTTTTCCAAACCCCACCTTCCAGGCCGCGTTACCTCTGCACTCCACTACACAGAGGCAAGCGTGGGCTCAAATCTAGGCTCTCCTGCTTGCCTCAGCCTCAGTGTCCTAATCCGAAAATCAATACAGTTTCTTTCTCCAGAGGCATTATGAGAAGTAAAACTCATTACTAAAGTGTAGCATCGTATACCTGACACATGGGAAGTGTCCAGTATGTGGTCACCATTGTTATATTTTTGTGACCTGCCAGGTGTGGCAGGTCTGGGCTCCCGAGAAGAGGGGTCTGGGACACTGGGCATTTGAGGGGCAGAGTCCAAAAAATCCGCAGCCTGCGTAGGAGTCTCCCTGGACCACAGTCCTTATTTCCAGCAAGTTCTTGCCTGGTGGGTCTTTCTTGATCTGGGGCGGGAGTTGAGATACAGGGAAGGCGCAGGCTGGAAGCGTCCAGGAGATCCTAGTTCCCCGAGGGGACGCTCGGGGAGGCTCTCTGGGCACGGTTGTTGGATGGAGAAAGAACACACGTGGCGGGGAGACTGGGAGATACTGCCTGTGCTGGACTGGCCTGATTTCTGGAGGTGGGCACTGCCCAGCTCAGTCCCCACACAGTGGCAGGCTCCTGGAGAGGTGGGCAGGGGGTGGCCCAGGTGTGCCCGAGGCTGAGTGACAGCCCAGAAACCTATGCCTGGCGACTGGTTTGGACACTGCGAGGGTGAAGCACAGGCTGACATGTTTGCTTCCACAAAGACCCGTAATGGCACCAGGGCCAGGCGTGGAGGGCCAGGCCACAGGTAGGCACCATCCTCGTGGCACTTGCTGGTGCCAGATGGCACCCGGATCCTCTGAGCACCTCCAGCTCTTGCTTTCATACTGGCTCCTTCACTGACTCCCACATTCGGCTTCCTGAGCACACTTGACCAGGAGCCATGGGGGTGAAGCTTGGGGTTGGGGTGCCCACAGAGAACTGGCGGATCAGGGGGGCAGTTATGTATATGTTGAGGCCCTGCTGCCCCCAGCGCTGATGAAGACACATGTCCCTGTTGGGGAGACAGAATCTTGGGGAGGTGAAAAGTGGGCACTGTTGGGGAATTGGGCAGCTTAGGGTCCTATGAGTGGGGACAGTAACCGCTCAGAGCATCCCCAAACCTGTGGCCAGGAAGGGCCTTAGAGCCCAGGCAGAGAGGGCCCTGCTTTCCACAGTCCCACAGCCAGTGTGGCCACTCCCCGCCCAGGCTCCGCAGGCACCTGAGCCAGCAAGGGGAGCCAAGGTCCCCAGGGAAGAGAAACAGCAACGGACTCCAACTGGCTCCGATCCCCACGCCCGCAGCAGGCGGGGGTCCAGTGGAGTCCAATCCTAGTGGCGGTGGTTGGGCCTGAGGGGAGGTAGCCTTGGCTCCTGAGTCTCGTTTGCATGGAGGGAAGAGGAATTTGCATCTTCAAAAAGTTATAGCTATGGGAAGGGACAGGGCGGGGGGGGGGGGCGGTTAGCCATGTCTTCAGTCTCCTGCCTCCCCTGGGGGGTGGGGGGGTGGGGGGGAGCAGGCCCATGCCAGCAGGCTGGCCCCGACTTACCTGGTGTGAGGAGCCCAGCTGAGTCCCTATGCTGTTGGTCAGCATTCAAGCTCTGTCCATGTGGAGCACACAGAGGGGCCGACCCCTCACACCTGCACATGCGCACACATTCACAAGCATGTGCTCAACATACATGTGCGGTTCCGCGCACCACTCACACCGGATCATGTTCACAGAACACACCTGTATCCACGTACTGTCACGGGTGCCCACTCATCACCTTAGTTCATCCACAGACACACCACCACACCGGAGGGTCACGTAATCTCACACCGGCACGTGCCCACACACGCCCACATTCATACTTAATAGTTGATATTTTTTACCAGTTTTTCAAGTTGGGTATATTTGAAATTCTTTCT